ATATAATCGGTTTCATACGACTAGGGTTGTAAATTAGCCGAGCTTTAGCGAACTCAGACTTGGCTTATGTTTGACTTGTTTGGAATTGATAAGTCTTATATGTATAAACACCCAAGATATTATGAAATATAAATATTTACTCAGAAATGCATGAGTCTAAGTCCCTTACATTCATGATTATAAACATTGATTTTTTTTTTTTTGCGAATTCTGTTATGTATATTATAAATTATCTACTTTAATTGTTCCTTCTGAATGCTGTAGTTCTGAATGCTGTAGTTCCTTGTTGTTTATGCTTTAATGAATAATAGTTATTTACTGAGTTTGATTTGTCAAAATCACCTGTTGATATTTTTAACAAGTTCCACCCAACCACCTAGATGACCTTCTTCATAGGAGCGAAGTTTACATTTTTAGATATATTTTTTGGTATTTTAAGTTTCATATTTGTTATTGTACTTTTCCTTTTGGATATAAGTTGTTATTTCTATATTGTTTTTTCATTTTTTTTAATTATTTTTTCTTCAGTTGTATTAGTTGCTAAACTTTTAAATATGAAAAAAAATAACACTTTTTTTTTTGCTTGTTTTAGTTTTTACTTGTGTATTATCTTTCTTTTTGAGAACATACAACAAGTTCACATTCTTTCATCACAACTTATGTTTTCCGGGTGTATCGCCTAACTGGTAGCGACGACTCCACCAAACATTAAGTTAAGCTTTCCTCAAGTTCAGGATCAACACACATTGTCTAATATAGAACAGACAATTAAAGAAATTACTTCCAATTTTTTTTCAGCCATTCTTTGCATTGATAGTTTTCTTTCTGTGGTCCCAACCCAATTTAGTTGATCGACGTTTCAGTTCATTTCAAAGCTTCTAAGTTTTTTAATTGATCTCATTTATTTTTTACTTCTGGCATATTCTTTACCAGTTTTCACATGATTTTTTTTATGTTTTGCCAGTCTTTTTTGTTGAAATGTGTTGGAGATTAATTACTTAATTCTACTTCTTTTTGACAAACATTTCAAAAAACAAGCACAACTTATGTCTCCAATGTAACAGACAAATTGTTTTATACTATTTCCCCAATACAACTCACTAGTGAAATAATATTACATCAAAATTTGAGAAAAAGAGAAGTTATAAAAATTTGCAGCATAAACCTATCTTTCATCCATAAAACTGAAAGAAGAGGAAATTTAAAATTAGAAAAAAATTCAGAGCTCTGAGTCAATGTAAAAATCTAAATAATATATCATTAAACCAACTGAGCAAGACAGAAGTTCCGTAAAGGGAATATTGGTTACCTTAGATCAGTTTTGGATAAACTCTTCTATATTGAAAAGCATAGAAGCATAAAAACCTTCTAGAAGAATCACAGGGTCATATGACTCATCGTAGCCCTTCAAATTTAAAATCGACTCCAAATGGATTCCAAATCTAATTTCAAATTTTCAGGGTAACATATATTAAAAAAGATAGAGACTTTACGGAGATTGTTAAATTAATTATAATCACTACTAACATCTAAAAAGTTTCATTATTTTTCTTTCTTTAGTTCCATACCAACATTAATGTTAGCAAAACAAAGATAAGCTTCCAAGTTATCTTTTAAGCATTTAGAAGGGATAACTAGTCCAATTTATCTAGTATTCTCTGCATTGGTCATTTCCTTAAAGATTAGGGGCAACTGGAAATGATTCAAATATGATAATTTAAATGAAAGTTAATATGCTCCAACATTCTTTTTCTTCTCTTATGCATGCATTGTTGTGTACTTCTCTTTTATGTTTCAAATTCTGCTTTATAAATCAATGAAGATAGGAGCATTGGAGACACTACAAAAACTTCAATGACAGTTTGCCTTTGTTTTGTAAATCACTTTTGGAGAACAATACAAAGTTTAAAAAACTGGACCGAACCGGCCGGTTCAACCGCTTCGACCGTGAATCGGGTGGTCTGGTTTTGGGTAGGCTAAAAACCGTCTCTGCATCAAACTGACCATAATCAAATTGAACTGGCGGTTCAACCTGAAAATCGTCAAACCCGGCGCAGTTCAAATGAACCGCTTTTATATTTATTGTTTATTTTTATTTTTGGAAATCCATTTCCAAGAATTTAAAATTTTGAGATGTGCAGCATTCGCAGAATTTTTTTGGAAATCCATTGAAAGCTAAGTCTTTATTTTATATAGATATGAAAATTTTCTGAAGACAAAACTATCGATGTGGGACTAAAGGTAGCTAGGAGAACTTTTATGTGGATTTTTAGGAATATTTACACGCATACCACTCAAACCTTATTTATTTACATATCTAACACCTAAACTTGTCTTTTGTATGTTTTTAGGAATATCTACATGCATACCACTCAAAGCTTATTTATTTACATATCTAACACCTAAACTTTTGTATGTTTTATATTTTTAGGAATTTTTACATGCATACCAATCAAATCTTATTTATTTACATTTCTAACGCCTAAACTTTTGTATTTTTTATATTTTTAGGAATATTTACACGCATACCACTCAAATTTATTTATTTACATATCAAACACCTAAACTTGTATTTTTTTTTATTTTTAGGAATATTTACATGCATATCACTCAAATCTTATTTATTCACATGTCTAACACCTAAACTTGTATTTTTTTATAAATAGTCACTTAAATAATTTTTAAAAATAAAAAATTTTAGCTTTTACATGCATACCAATCAAATCTTATTTATTTACATATCTAACACCTAAACGTGTATTTTTTATATTTTTAGGAATATTTACATGCATACCACTCAAATCATATTTATTTACATATCTAACACCAAAACTTGTATTTTTTTATATTTTTAAGAATATTTACATGTATATCACTAAAATCTTATTTATTTATATATCTAAAGCCTAAATTTGTATTCTTTAATACATATAAAAAATTAATATAAAAATGTATAAATAAATATTATTATTTAATTATTTCGAGTCAAAAAAGCTGAACACGAACAAACAAAGATTTATTCATGTTCGGCTTGTTTATAAATCGAGCCCAAAAATATTTGTATTATTAATTTATTATATTATTATTGCATTATTTAGGTCATATTTAATTAGTTTTTATATTTATTTCATTCGGTTTAACCCCAGTGGAATGAACCTTGAACCTTTCCTTCTTCTGGTTTGATGTCCGGTCCGGTTTTCAGAACCTTGGAAAAATACAAATACTTCTAGGCACTCAACTCCAATTATCAAATGCACTCTTATAAAGCATAGCTTAATATAATAGAAAGAACAAATAAGGACTGATTCACTCCTATAAAGAAGAATAGAGCAAATTGTTCCAAGCTTGATCAGTAAAGAAACAAAAATCGATTTTAAAAAGCATCTCAAGGATTTCTGAACCATTGACACATTTTTTTTATTATGTTGCTCAAACCAACCACTTCAATTTTATGTTATTTCATATCAACACCAAAACTTTCAAAAAATGGAAGAAGGTATATGATAAATGCCCAAAAATTGCAGAACACAGTCCAGGACTCGACATAATAGTACAAAAATGAAGGGAACAGTCATAGGGAGAAAGAAGACCAACAAACTCATACATAAGAAAATGAAAGCCCCATAAAAACACAAAACAGAAGAGAGCAAAAGCCCCATAAATTCACAAAATAGAAGAGGAAGAGAGGGATGAGCTGAGAGCCTAACCCCTAACTATTGTTATAGGGGAGGGCTTTAAACATCAAATCGGAAAATCAAAGTTTTATTTGGATACATTCAGATGAAGTACATATCAGAACGAGAAGATGAATGAGCCGGATCGAAAACCTAGGAGATCGGCTAGAGTTTAGAGATGCAGGGTAGCGCTTGGAGAGTTGAGGGAGAAGATGTCCAAACTGTGTACAGTCTTATAAGAAATGAGTTCATGAAATGCCATAAAATCGATGCCGCTTTTACAAAATAGCGTGCAAACGCCACCACAAACACTTTTGCATCATGACGGGACACCTTGCTGCAGTGTAAACGCTGCCCCAAACACAACGTAAGGCGTCTAAATCATTATAGTATTTAAAATATGATATTATAGTAAAAATTACTAATGGGCAAAATTCCTTTTTAACTATTTTATTGACTACAATTATTATCATTGAAGCATGCTAAACTTTTATGTGATCATTCATTTGATTTTTTTCTAAGATTAATACAGCCAAACTTTTTGCACTATCACTACATCAATAACGGGGCAATAAATTGTCAACACAGCAGCTATGCCTTTCCACACAGCTTTTGTTACATATACAGTCCAAGATTTTTCTGAAGTTTTATATGAGAAGCTATAGTGGAAGTGTCGTTTAGGAGTCCTAGGTAAAATTAGGATGGCATTTGTTTTTCAGCAAATTGGTAGTTCCTTAGTCTAAATTTCTCATGCCAAACTAGCATGTTCATCCTTTTTTAATTTTTATTCTCATTAGAATTATGATGCTCACATTTATCTTTAGGGGTGTTTACATACATAGCTACAAAATTCTTTTGTATTTACATTTCTCACACCTAGACTTTCTTGTTTACACATAGCACTGAAATTTTTAATATCACATCAAAATAGCACTATATCACGTTTTAAAAGTTAAATAGACCTTTTAATGCATAGGTTTAAAGAACCAAAGTGCGATATGTGTAAACATGAAAGTTTAGCTGTGAGATATGTAAATACGTAAGAATTGTGTGCTACGTATGGTGATTTCCCTTATCTTTATCATTACTATATTGACTTCATCCCCACCCTTCTCCTAGTTCTAGCATCATTGCGCATACTATTATGCATGATGCTTTGTTTGCCACCACTTTACTGAAGTTTCTTTTCGAGTCTAGCTACTTTATATTCCATCTCATGAAGGTATTAGCTTTAATAAACTTGGATGATGACTTTATGATTTACTTCTTTCTTTTATTTTTTTAATTAATTCCACACTTTTGGATGTAATAACTGTCCAATTTCAGCTTTTGGGAAAAGATTGTTATGATATTGATATAGCATTGGACAACATGTTGGGTCGGGAATTCTGTGAAAAAGTCAATGAATATCTGCACTCTACTGGTGAAGAAGTACAAGGAATTGGTGTCATCCAATGGTATGTGGATTTTCTTAGTTAGTCCATTCAATCCAGATTTTGATATGTGAATGATTTATGAACGAGTTTACAACAAAAGGTTTGAAAATGATTAAGATGCTTTTACTTTCATTCATTGCTTTCTGAATTAAGATATGTACTTATGTTGGTGGTTTCTCATAGGTGGCGCTTGTTGATTGATACCCATTAACTTTATAGCTTTTTGTAGTTTGTGGTCAAGAGTTCAAACTACCAGAACAACAATTGTATTCTGCAAATACTAGTTTTATTTGGGATAATTTTTTTTTATTTTTTTTATTTTTTATTGGGGTTACAATTGAATCCAGCCTCAACTGTTAGTTCTATGATCATGCTTCATAGCTGTCTCTACTATGGCAATAATGTTTCAGCTTCTTCTCATTTGTAGTTCACAAATTTCGCTCTTTCTGATAATGTTTAGAACAAGGCATTCTATGAAAATTTTAGTACAAAAAATTTTCTTTTACTTAGTCAAATGGAATTTTTAATAGATACAGACTGCTCAGGTAGTCAGGTTTTAGTTTTTGCTGTATGCTTATTTGTGTGTGCCCACACACAATATTGGTTGTGATTCCATAACCTGTCGCTTTATTATTTTCATAACACTCGCGAAGGCTATACTACATCTCAAGAAACTTACATAAGTTTTCTCTGTTCATAGGCTTTAAATTAACTTATTTTGTAGAGGTTAGCTTAGTTACCAATATTGTAACAACGTCATATGATATTTAGCTCTTGCAAGAACAGTAAGATCTAAATATAGTAATATTGAAGTATTTTGCTTTCTATTGAATTCAAATCATAATATTCTTCTGTTGTGAGAATATTTAGATGTTTATTTGGAAGCACTTCTTAGTTGAACTTGCTTTCATGGCATATTTCCCTGCTATACTAGGAATTCTTTGTTCCACTTTTCTTTGCCTTTGTTATCTATCTTTATGCTTGAGCTCAGTCTTACATTTCATGGATATACTTCTCAATTAATCAATTATTGCTGTTATAAAAGTTTGATTTGGCTTAATAATTCATTAGCAACATGACTCTATGATGTGTTCCAGCAATCCAGATCAATCGAAACACCTGGAAACTGCTAGGATGTGCATATACAGTACATGGATTGATTTTGTGAACTTGAGATCTGAATCATATGCTGAGAACAGCCGCATCCCTAAAATGGTATACATACTATTTCATAATAACTGAGGTTTTTACCTGAGTTCGAACTTGTACAATTAATCATATGCTGAGAACAGCATCTCCTGAAGAGTTTATATCAAACTGTTGTTTGCTTTGCAGAAGTTTGGAACTGCTGAAGAAGATGCTTACCGTAGGGATCTAACTATCAATAGGTAGTATATCAAGTACTTTTTGTGTTTCTTTTTCATTAAAGCTATGCAAACTTGAACACAGAGAAGAAGATGGGGGCTAAGTTTTTCCTGACAAATAATACAAATTGTATTTTTTCTTCACTAGCTTTTTTTCCTTTCCAACTTATGATACATCTCTCATGTGTTCTATTCAATTATATATTATTTTAATTTACTACAACCAACCTTGGTATAATAATTACGTTAATTTAATGACTGGCTACCTTTTTGAATTGATCAATCATTTTATAATATAATAACATTCAACTATAAATGTTAATGGAGAATTATCAATAACAAAATAAAGACTGAGATTATATCAGAAGATGTAAATTGGGATTGAACGCTCTTATTAACACATTAGAATATCTCCATGCCCCTTTTTAGACTACCACACGTTGCATGTTGGCAAGATCTTACTTGCTAAGTTGACGGAAAATAACAGTACATAATGGGAAATTTTTGTCTGGTACAATCTCAACACCATTTATTCTCAGTGAGTTTAACTTTGCCTATCTTGTTGATTGATAAATGAACTTGTACATGATAGGGGACACCTTTTTGTTCAACTGTAATTTTTCTTCCCACTCAAGAATTAAACTTCAGTTTTCACAATTTGCTACCTGATTTGCATTTTATTGCTCTGTTCTAGGACTACCGGTCAACCTTTTTAATGCTACTTGCTCACTGCTTGGCTGTTCCTTCACCTTCTGAACCTCTGCCTCAAAATTTTCTTTAGATGCTCTTCTGTAGACATCAACCATTTCATTTTTTGTCTCCTCTATTTTCTTCTTTGATTGTCGATCTACATTAAACTAACATTCTTTTTTCTCAGTTTATTTTACAATATTAACACTACTTCAGTGGAAGATTTAACTGGAAGGGGTCAGTATTTTTTTAAAATTCTGTTGTTGCTTGATTATCGACATTGCTGCTCTCTCTACTTTGGCTTACTAGTTGTTCATTCAGGCGTTCAGGATCTGAAGGATGGATATATTGTCACTCCTTTACCGCCAAGAGAAACTTTCTTAGATGACCCACTTCGTGTTTTGCGAGCGATTCGTTTTGGTAAAAACATGATTTCCTCTGAGTTTTTTCCTATCATTTATACAAATTATTTGTTCATTTTGATTTTTCCTTATTTTTTTCCTTCTGTACATTTTTTAAATGGAATAAACTGATTCTGGTGGAGCATTTTTCCCTCAAATTTTATGAGCTGAGTTATGGTAATAGTTTGACCCTGGACTGAACTAGTTATGCTTAGTTTTTAGTGGAACTGGGATTTATATACTTACCTTGGCATCTTAGATTGACTTGCATTACATATTAGAGTTTGTTATCTTGTTTTTATTAGTTAGAATATTACTACTTCTTTATAGAAGTATATTTTCCTATATATGGAAAAAGGTTTCGTTAACATTTCTAACTGAATTTAGGCTTGAACTTCTGGACCGTCTCTTTAGTGGACCACATTGCAAAATGGTAACATGATATTACGTAATTAGTGTTTATAACTATGTTGGAATTCCTAATTAAGAACTTAAAAATATTATAAATATAAGTGCTTTTTTTAATTGATGATCTAGCATATCAGTTATAGTCAGCGGCTAACTTTTCTTCCTAGTGTCAAGCTTTTTTCTCTTTTTTGTTGTTGATCACTGCAACAGGTGCTAGGTTCAATTTTAAGTTGGATGAAGACCTAAAAATAGCTGCTTCTGATGAGGAAGTTAGAGATGCTCTCATGAGTAAAATTAGCCGAGAACGTGTTGGTCATGAGGTAATTTACATGTTCTTTTATGAAAAACAGTCAATTTATTATAGATTTAATGAAAGAATTTTTATATACGTTGACGTACTATGCATTAGTTGGCTTTAGTACAATGTTTTGACTAATTTAATAACCTGGTGAATAATGCTGTGTTAAATTAATGTTTGATTGTTTTCTTCTTATATGTTGATTTTGTACAGATTGATCTGATGATTTCTGGAAATCGACCTGTCACAGCAATGTTTCATATTTGTGATTTGCAGTTGTTCCATGCTGTCTTCACATTGCCTGAGAACGCACAACCTGAGGTTGTTGAGGGTTGTAACAGGTCTGTTTTTTTTTCAAGACAATTAAAGCTATATTGTTTCCTCATAAAATTTTATGTATTTTCTCCATTGATTTTACTTTTGGATCCATCCATCTTACTGGAAATTATTTTTTGGTTAAATAGTTAGGAATAACTTTCAATTGATATTGTTACAATGAAATTGTTCCAAATCCTAAACTAAATGGTAAACGGTGATTCGTTGTCAATATAAGAATTACTTTAACATTTTCTCCATCTGCTTGTCCTTTTTAAATTAGATTTAGCAATGCTTATTCTCCATTGTAAACTTTTTTCCACGCTCTTACTTTATATTTGCCAATGAACAGACTGTGTGTTTCATATATGGAAGCAGCATTGAATGTGCTTCAACTAATAGGCTTTTCGACATTCAGTGTAAGTTCCTAATTTCTGAGTTTATGTTTCTTTTCTTTACTGATCAAACAGGATCCTTTTAATGAGGCGACTGAAATAACTGCATGCAAGGGAACTCATACTTTTAGTTTACTATGTATATCGTCTATAAATTAAGGTCTTAAAAAATTCCTACATAAATGTGTTTGCCAGTGTTTGTTTTGATCTTATTACATGGGTATGCTATTAATTTCTTGACTCGTATTCTCTTTTCAATTACTCTTTCTAAGCATTTTGGTTATTTTACCAATTACTTTTATACCATTTATTCTTGAGGATATTCTAGGTGATGACTTCCATCAAAATTAGGGCGAGCAAAATTTTATTCTCTTCAATAACACAAAACAATACAACACAATACATAAAAGTTAAACACCTACAATTTGAAGGGTAGGTGATCTCTCCCAAACTTTAATCCTAAGACCAAGACAATATTCTCATAACATACCTAACCCTAAGCATAATATGCCCTAATAATAATAACCAATAATAAGCCCTAAATTGCCCTTAAGCGACGAGGATGCAACTGAGGAGCAGGTTGAGGTGTATCATTGTTATGAGGGTGCCTAGCCTAAGGGCAATTTTGGCTTTTAATTATTATATTTGTTGAGTATAAATAGGTTTGTTATATCTAGAGTTTGGGTTATGCACGAGATTGAGTTTTAAGTTTAGTGTTTGGAAGAGATTTCCTACCTCTCGAATTATAGGAATTAGGAGAGATTGCTTACCTCTCGAATCGTAGTTGCTCATCTTTTATATTCTTCAGAGTTGTTTGGATTATGGAAATAAAAATTTATGTTTGTCCTAGTTTTTGTGTAAAAGCATGTTGATTTCTTCCTCAAATCGTATCAAATTAGTATTAGAGTTCAAGATTTTGGGAATCAGATTGATATAAGAGAGGATCGATTGACTCGACCAAAAGTTGAATCAAATCATCGCTTCCTGGGCAAGGATTTCAGCCGACATAGCCCTCTATTTCTGTGTACAAAGCTTTGGAAACTAACAAGAGATTGTGATGTTCAATGATAGTGACTTTCGGAGCTGAAACAGTCACGGGTAGCGTCACGGGATGGGCCACTACAGTCGCGATGGTTGCTCTTGCCTGATTGACACTCGTGATACAATGTGATTCCAGTGATACAATCGTGATACTAGCGGGTTGGGGAAGTTGTAACGCACTGTTTCTCGCGATACAATTGCGATCAGACCTAAATAGGAAGGCAACAACTAGGAAGTGGCGCACAGGGACCATAAACTTCTATTTTTCTTTCTCTTGCACCGTCTACGTGATGCAGTCATGATCAAAGCTAGATGGGAAGGCAACCACAAGAGATCGCAACGAACGGAGACCCAAAGCTCCCATATTCCAGGATCGTGCTGACCTGTGCGCGTACAATCGCAGTAGGTACTATCGGGATTGATGGGATTGACGTGATCTAGAAACACTAATTTTACATACAATTGTGATTAGAGCTGGCTGAGAAGAGACGACGAGTTTTTGGTGTATAAAAAATTGTCTTTTGAAATTGAAATTTTTTTTGAAAGAGATGACAATAAAGAAAGTAGATGATCTAGAGAAGAAATTAGAGGAAAAGATGAGTCAAATCATATATGGAATGGAATAAATATTCGTCATCATAGATGAGAGGTTCTCTTCTTTGGAGAACCGACTGGAGGTTGATTCGAGAGCATGAGGGAAATTCGAGAGATGTTAAAAAGGCTCATTGAGATGCAATCCAAAAACCCACCGACAGATCAATGTGCAAGTGCTAACAAAAGGTTGACTGGAGAATCTGTAGTAAGATCAAAAGGAAAAGGGATAGAACATGAAGAACATGAGGAAAACATCTACCATCACGAACCTCTTCTTAGGGCTCTTATTAGCGGTGGATTAGAGATTTATGATGGGGTGGTTGGGCTGACACATGGAGAATAGATTATATCAGAGATATGGAGGAGCACGAAGAAAAAGGGAGAAAAACAGGGAAGGGATATGGCTGCGATCGTTGGAAAGAGTTTTACCATCGATACTTGAAGGGAAACAATGAAGGAACAAGAAGTTGGGGTGGAGATTTTAGAATTAGGAAGTTGAAGATGTTGATCTTCAAGGGAGAAGACGCGCATGAGTGGGTGTATCAGGCTGAGCGATATTTTATGGCAAATTAGTTAGATGGGAAAGAGAAACTCTTGGCGACAGGATTTAATTTGGAGGGGAAAACCATAGCCTGGTTTTAGTGGAGGGAGGCTAGATTTCCAATTCGTTTGTGGGATGAAGTTAAGGATTGTTTGTTGAAACTTTTTCAAGTCATTTGGGACGGAGACCTACATGAGCAATTCAATGTCTTAACTCAGGAGTGGACGATCATGGAATATAGGGATAGATTAGAACTGTTATCGGGACAACTGTGGGGGATTTCTGAAGCAGGACTGAGGGGAATTTCATGAAGGGCTTAAAGCTTGACATACGGGCATCACTTTGACTACTGACTACTAAAACCACGGGGATTTAGGGAGATGATAGAGCTAGCCTAGATGGTGAAGGACAAGAATCAGGTGAGGAAAGCCAGAAAGAGCAGCACAGATGAAGCGTCATACGGAACTGCTGCAACCATGGTGATGCCAAAAGTTCAAACAATGGAAGTCCAAAAGGAGGTTGCACGGGATACGAATAATGGATCACGATTGGAAACAACACTCAAGCACCCTTTAGAGATAAAAATTCAAGAGAAGCGAGTTAAGGAGTTATATTTTCAGTGTAATGAGAAGTTTATCCCAGGATATCATTGCGAGTATCGAAGATTACAAGTTCTCATAGTGTAGGACGAGGAGACTGGGAATGAAGAATTAGAGACAGCTGTAGGAGAGGATAAACACTCTCATTATTTCTTATCTTGAGGACAATGTGTCTTTTGGGGGAGTATTGTTACGAGAGTGCTTAGCCTAAGGGTAAATTTGTCTTTTGTATGCCTAATCGCAATTTATTTTTTTATTGTTATTATGTTAGGTATAAATAAACTAGAGTTATGTATGAGATTGGGTTTGAGTCTTAGGTTTAGAGTTTGGGAGAGATTTTCTACCTCTTGAATTATAGGAATTAGGAGAGATTGCCTACGTCTCAAATTGTAGATGCTTATCTTTTGTTTTCGTCTGACCTATTTGGATTATTGAAATAAAAATGTGTTTGCCCTAATTTTTATGGAGAAGTGTGTTGATTTTTGTCTCAGATTGTATCAATCCTCTTCCACTGGATGATGGCGAGATGCTTGTAGTTCAACGGGTCCTACAAATTGAGGATACGAGAGATCTACAATGTCTTCGCCACAACATATTCTACTCCCGTTGCATTTTGAACGGGAAGGTCTGTAGTCTCATCATCAATGGAGGAAGCAACAAAAACGTGGCGTTTACACAGATGGTGGAGAAGTTAGGCGTCATGTTTCAAAGGCATTCCCAACCTTTTGTCTAACGTGGCTTAAAAAGGAGAATAGAGCCAGCATTGACCAAAGGTGCTTAGTAGAGTTTTCGATTGGAAGCCAGTTGTAGGATCAGGTGTGGTGCGACATGGTGCCAATGGATGTCTGCGACCTTTTGTTGGGGAGACAATGAAAATTTAACTGTAAGACTCAACACGACGTATTAAAACACCAAGGAGGAAAGCACATCACTCTTCTTCCTTCGATGGAACTCGAGATCACAGGTGCTCTTGGTAACAGAGCAGCGTCAGTGGGACCAGTTTTAATGATGACAGAGGATGATAGGACCGGGATACTGACTCCATACATGGGACAATCATGACAAAAAGCATTTAAGGATATCAGCATCGATACCTTACCATCGTGGCCACCACCATTCGATGAAGTTCATGTTACCCTCATATCAGTTCAGATTGAGTCGACAATGGATTACTTTGGGAGGATTCAACGGTATATGCAGGACACGTAGACTCAGTTCAATTCAGTAGCGGACCCCATAAAGGTGAATTGATATGGATGTATGCTTGCAAGTGTGAAAAAATTCTCAGGTGTCTTGTGGGACAGTACAGTCGCTATTGGAATCCAAGTGCTTCTCGAACTGTAGTAGAAGATCCTTCAGCCCTAAGAGCTTACAATAACTCCGTCACCGTCAACATGTAGCCAGAAGCTTCGACGAATGATGTATAAGCTCCTCCAACTCCGGGAGGCTGACGTGGAGCTCTACTGAACCGACAACCGACCAGCTGGGAAGGTTGGACTAGTTCTGGGAAGAAGGCAAGGTGGTCGGTTGGCTCAATTATTTGGGTTAGGGTTGCCACCCAAGTGCTCCTAGCTATCTATTATTATAAATATTTCTTTCATTTTTTTAGGGTTAGCTTTTTTTGCTGATTTTTATATTTGGAGAGCCTTCGGCATTCCCTTTTCTTTTCTAGGGTTGTATTTGACAGTGAGGAGGTGCTTTGGTTGTAACTCATCCGGAGGTCGTGTGCATCCTTTCATATCCCCTCTCCTTTGTTGCCACCTAACTCCGCCGCACTGTCCCTACTTACAGCTGGGGCTATAAAAAAAGCTCGTTGTTTGTGAACAACTCATGTTCGGCTCAGTCAGTAACTCATATTTAATTCGTTCGTTAAACAAGCTAGTTGAACACGAATAATTTTTTTTTTAAACGAGCCAAACACGAATAAGAAGTCGTTCGATTGTGTTCAACTCGTTTTGACTCGAAATAAATAAATAAATAAATAATAATAAATTATATAAAAATTAAATCAATGATATATTTAATATAAATATAAAAAAATAATACATAAAAATTGTTGCTACATAGGTAATAATTTTCCCTTAAATTTTGAAAAAATAAATTTTAGAATACATAAGAATTGGTTGGTACTCATTTAAATGTATCAAAAAAATTTCTCAAGGTTCCCTGCACCACAGGCCACACCCACTGTTACAGCAAGGGTGTAGCTTATGTAAATACGTAAAAATTTGGTGGTATGTATGCAATCTCACAACCTCACCTAGGGAGACTCACCTGCTTTGTTGTTGACTTCCTTTTGTTTTTGTCCCTCATCGGGAGATTGGAGAAATTTTAATTAATAATCCACTATAAATTTAAAAAAAGATTAAAAAAAGATAGGAGAGAATGACAATAATTTTTGACTTTGCACACTTTTATAACATTTGTGAGGCTATATAT